TTCTCTCTATCTCTCTCTCTCTAACGCGTATATGTATGTACTTTGTCAATTAATTTATAAGGTCAATATTAATAATTGTTTGTATATTTGGAATAATGTATCATTTTATCTCTCTCTCTCTCTTACTCGTATTATGTATATATTATGTTAATTAATCAATTAGGTCACTAATAATAATTGTATATTTGAAATAATGTATCGTTCTATCTCTTTCTCCCTAACTTGTATTATGTATATATTATGCCAACTAATCAATAAGGTCACTAATAATTGTATATTTGAAATAATGTATTATCTATCTCTCTTTAACTCATATTATGTATATATTATATCAATTGATCAATAAGGTCACTGATAATTGTATCTATTTTAATAATCTATAATTTTTTAATAAACAGTTCAATATTTATTGTATTTGATTTTTATTTCCCCGACAGCATCCTGTTATACGACACAAAAAACTTGACACTATGTACTCTAAATGACTCCACGGATGTGACCCAGGTCGCTATTACGTCATCACAGAACCCGAACCCTGAATCGAACTTTGCACTATGTACTCTAAATAGCGCCACGGACGTGACCCAGGTCGCTATGACGTCATCACAGAACCCGAACCCTGAATCGAACTTTGCACTATGTACTCTAAATGGTGCCACGGACGTGACCCAGGTCGCTATGACGTCATCACAGAACCCGAACCCTGAATCAAACTTTGCACTATGTACTCTAAATGACTCCACGGACGTGACCCAGGGCGCTATGACGTCATCACAGAACCCGAAACGACTCGGAACAATCCCTTCCACGCAAACTCCATATTACAGGAACCTGTGATTCCCCGAACCATTCCTGTCGATCAATTGCAAGAATTCACCGCAATAACCCGGTATGACGTCATCACAGGTGACAGATGACGTTTGACAGATGACGTTTGACAGGTGACGTTTGACAAATGACGTTTGACAGGTGACGTTTGACAGGTGACGGTTGACAAGATGGCGGGAAAACATTTCCCCCCACCCCTTTTTCTGGTACCCATAATAAAATCCGGGGGGCCCCTTTTCGGGGGGCGCAGCCCTGCGGGCCCCCTTTTTGGGGGGGGGCGGAGCCCTACGGGCCCCCAACTACAGCATCCTGTATTACGAACTTCACACTATGTACGCTAGATGGCGCCATCTGTCAACAAGATGGGGCCATGGCGGCGCATCCACCTTCGTGTCAACGACGGCGCATCCACCACGTGTCAAGAATGAAAGATTGAGGTTATGGTCGGATTTTGATGCTAGAACCCCTGTTGCTGTACTACTATTGAAGCATGCCAATCTTGTCAAGACAATAAAATTTCATTATCAAAGGAGACAATCGTAATGGACCAATTACCAAGTTGCCCATTTGAGGATGGCTCATCGGATTTGTTTAGTACTTCCAGAACACTTTATGGTTTACGTACATCGTTTATCTGGATGGCAAATGGTGAGCCATTATGGAAACAAAGATCCCAATAGTGGACAGATTATAAATGATTTATATAAAAATTTCGCTGATACTGGGTTTTCCGTTAGATTCAGATCAGATAGTGGAGGACAGTATTCATCTCGTGAAGTTCAATTATTTTTGAAGGAGTGGAATGTGGCATTTGCTCCATCCACGCCCCATTATCCGCAAAGCAGCGGACATGCAGAGGCAGCTGTGAAGTCTATGAAAGCGTTAATAATCAAACGCACGGTAAACGGATCACTAAACAAGGAGATGTACTACAAAGGACTATTGGAAATCAGGAATACGCCCGATGCAAACGGTCAATATACTGCCAAAATACTCTATGGAAGATCTATAAGATCACTGATACCAACCAATCATAAAGCTTTTTCAAGAGAATGGCAAAATATTGCAAATAGATGTGATGAATATGCCAATGAAAAATTGAAAATAGCAAAAAATTATAACCAGAAGGCTAAAGATTTAATTCCGCTTATGATTGGACGCAATGTTTATATCCATAATCTAACAACATAGCGATGGGACAATACAGGTGTTATTGTAGAAGTTGGTCCCTACAGAAAATACACAATAAAATTATCAAGTGGCAGAATATATAGTATATCAGAAACAGAAGATTTATTCGTGCAATCCCAGAAATGGCCACAGAAATTTGATAGGGAGATGGAATATCCGACTAGTAGGGGAGATGTGGTAGTCCTGTATAAATAAGGCCATTTGACATGTGGAGATGTTTTGACTTTGATTATTAATTATTGTAAAATTGTTAAAAGCTTGTCAGTAGAGTTCTACATAAAATTCAAACATAACACAGACTTCGTTTGAACTTTCTCAGATTTTCTTGTTAATTACGTACTTACGCAAAACTTCCTGGAAGTTTTTTAAATTTCTTTTTGGCTATCATAAACACTGAATAAAAACATCCACTGATTCCTCTGCGCTTCCTAGAGTAGACTTTTTTTCCCTTGCTTGGAGTAGATTATATTTTCAAAATAAAGAATACTCCATACAAATGGAAGAAAATATCTATACAATGGAAAATAATAAAGTCAACTGGGCTGTGATCCTTCATTTGAATTGAAGCATGTTTCGTTTTTGTTCTCTTTGGTGTTCTTGATAACATTTCCATTACAGAAAGGTATAGATAGAGATCGGCTCAATCAAAGAGCGCCACTCCCCTCTAAAGAAAATTACCCTGGAATTACACTACTCAGAATTGTTCTGTTGTTACTAAGTTTTTGCTAGAGAAAATATCCATCAGTGTGGGTTGGCTTACGAAAAACTTTGTGGCTCAGTTCAATATTGGGCTTTCTTTACATGAACGCATGCATCTAGAAAGGAAACCACTCTATTGGCCCAAACTGCATGGCGAATTGGCAAATATTTTTATTTCATTCATATGGTCCAGAAACCTTTCTAGTTCTTGTTGACTGAGACTTCATATGATAAATATGACATCTGCAAAGGACTCGAGAGCTCTTAGAAGGTCATAACGAAATATTTTTTAACAACATTTCCAGCGACATCCACAAGTCTCCAAACACCAAACTAATATTCAAGAAAATACTGGCTTTAAAAGAGAGGTTTCAAAAATCCAGAAACAGTAGAAGAATTTCAATAGGAAGGTAGAAGGCATCAGACTCAGCAGTGACAGCATTATTTGAATTCCAATACTAAAAATGAATACGTGCCAGAGGTACCAATTCCACCTTGTACCGCATCTCTATGACAGGAGTGAGCCCTATAGACCCTAGCCCACAAGTCTGGCAAACAATAACTTTGACAAAACAAAAAGAATTCTTGTTCAATTCTGTATTTAAGAAATGTTCACATTTTCTCTCATTGGGACCATAAAGAGCCTTAATTGCAATTATCATTGGTGTAATAATAGTATATTATGATATAAGTGTATAAGAGGGCCTTCAAAGCACGCGCCAGCGGAGTGTTTTGTAGATCGCAAGGGCTTTAAATGCTCTTATACACGAATATCATACGCTATTTTTTATTACAAATGCATCATAATCTCAAAAATGTTCCCAATGTGTTCATTCATTTTGATAAATAGTAATTTAAACGGCAGGTGAATATCTAGGTAATAAAGGTGGTAGATCAAACGTTTTTATAGCAAACCTTTGAAAAGGTAGGCGCATCATAATAGTATATTAAAGTATAAGTGGAGGTCTTTAAAACACGCGCGATTTTTCGAGCACGACGGCGCAGCCGGAGTGCTCGAAATAGAGCAAGTGTTTTAAAGACCAGTTATCCACGAATACTTTACACTATTTTTTTTTATTGGTATACGTTCAAATCAAAAATTACTAATAATTGTAGAATGCGAAATTCGTTGACACTTGTTATATTTTATTTGACGTTATCTACAAGTACCTACTCCTGACAAATCAATAATCAAAAAGTTGACATTTAGACTTTACCTACCTTCCTTGGGTTGTTGATGTTGTCATGATAACTTTAAAACACGCGCGTTTTTGAATGTTGGATTTAAACACGCTGAGGAGTACTTTAAATAAGTAAAATAGGTTATCAATAAAAAAAAACATCATTTTATGCACGCTGCGTAATAATAGTATATCATGATATAAGTGTATAAGCTTTGCGACTTGCGACTTACATGATATAAGTGTATAAGCCTTGCGACTTACAAAACACTCCGCTGCGCGTCGTGTTTTGAAATATGTCGCGCGTGCTTTAAATGCCCTCTTATACACGCATATCATACGCTATTTTTTATTACGAATGCATCATAATCTCAAAAATGTTTTAAAAGTGTTCATTCATTTTGATGAGTAGTAATTTAAATGGCAGGTATGCAGGTAAATATCTAGGTAATGAAGGTAGATCGAACGTTTCTATAGCAAACCTTTGAAAAGGTAGACGCATCATAAACATCATTTTATGCACGCTGCAGCGTGCGATAATCGCTGATTATGATGCATGCGTAATAAAAAAATCCTTATTTTTACATACGAGCGTTAATACGAGTAATAAAAGGTGTATGGTTTTGAAATTAACATCCGGTATATGTCTACATAAAGTTTAAGTGAAACTGTTACCAGAAATATGTTCATCATTACTCTTTATGAAAATATAAACGATCACGTGTTCCAGATGATAAGACTTAATAAACCTTAAACAATAACACCTTGAGCGCTTCCCACTGATTAACAATAATATTTCTCTAGTATTTGACTTTATATTTTATTTTGTTACCTAAGAGACATTTATAACGAGAATATTAATTAATAATAGTGGTAAATTTTTATGCAATATACTACAAGGAAACAGGCCTATTGTGTTAGAAAAACTATCTCTGCCAATTAAATTCTTGAAGCCCATAACGTTAATTTAATGTGGCTGGTTTGAATGTAATTATTTAAATGAATTAGGAAACGGTTTTCACCGTGCGTTGGAGAAAAGATAATAAATTTGCGCTCTTCTTAGATCACAGCCATAATCATATTAATTACTAAATTTTTCAGATATGGATATTACTTGAAATATGTTTGCTATCAGTAGTAGGAGCAGCAGTAATGGCACCACCCTGGGCCGATCCCAATCTAAATCCCTGTGCTAAAGAACCCAGAGGTTGGCAACTTTTATTTTGGCCCTCTGATGGAAAATGCTACAAAATATTTCAGGTGAGACAATTGTAGCCAACTATTGTCAATAACATATTTATAATTTTGAAAAGCTTGCTATGATGTAATTGAATAATGTATGAAAAGGGTGCGTTTACTAAGTTAGAAGTAAAAAATTGAAAAAAAAACCATGTAATTAATGGTAGGTAATTGCAATTATGTAACCCAAGACCAAAGGTGCGCAAATTTTATGCATTGATTTAAATTTATTTATTGAATCTAAATTACATTACATATTAAAGAAAATACATAAACAGTGTTGAATTTTCCCTTTACGAATATTATGTAATAATTTCACAAAGGTATATATTCTGATATCTAGAAATAGCAATTAATTACCATATATTTACATTCAAAATACTCAATCACAATAAATTGAAATGCGTAGGCTTTTACTTTAGCCTTGACTATGAATTATTTTATAACACATATTATGCAATAAGCTGATCTTCGAGGAATTTGTGCTCTGTTTAATAAAAGACAAATACCCAAATATTAAGCAATCGATCTTGTTAATCAAAAGGCGCTCTGAAATACTTCACATACCTTGATAGGTTTGAAAGATGCAAATATCGAGCCAGACATTTGACATTGACTAAAGTGCGCGAAAGGAGCATTTGGGCGTCTCTTCGTTAGCGAATTAATGGCTATGATGATAATGACCATTATTTAAAGGTATTATCTCATTAACTTCATGTCTGAATATACAGGGTGTTCCTAAATATCATCTACAAACGGAAGGGGGTGATTCTTTGGTTTATTTTATGACTAAAATTTCTAATAAACATATTGTCCGTCGATTTTAATCTGACACTTTCCGTATGAGGAGCTAGGGGGGGGTGAAGCATATGGCAAAAACGGGTGTGACCTCAGGTGACCATTGGCGTTCTTACGTAGGGAGCCACCAGCTCCCATTCCTTTGGAGTATCAGATTAAAATCAATGGACTGTAGGTCCGCAAACACTCCGTTAGCAATCTACAGGATGTTGAAATTTTAATATTTTTTTAGTTTTTTTCTTTGTAGCTCCTGCAACTTTTGAGGGATTTAGCTCAAATTTGGAAAATACGAGCTAAATGATTGCACATGTCAAACGTTTGCCAGAATTTACAGGGGACAAAATAATTTTTTTCTATTTTGGTGTCATATCGAAGTCTTTTCGACACTAAAAATAGTTTCGAAAAGAAGCTCTTTGTGAAACTCCTTTTTTACTTATCGGAGGTTGGTAACACTAGCTGACTGATGGCCATCGAACTGTCATTCGCGATTTTATAATAGAAGATTTCTATATTTGGCATGCAGTGTCACCAACCTAAACATATAAAATCAGGAAATATGAGAATAAAATTTCCAAGAAAAATTTGTTTTTTTTTAATTAAACAATACCAAAATAGAAAAAATTGTAGAAAATATTCGTTTCATAAGACATTTTATCGCACTCGCCCTTTAGAAAACTCGCCTCCGGCTCGTTTTTTAATATAGGGCTCGTGCGCTAAAATGACGTCTTATGAAACTTGTATTTTAATGTACTATTCTACCTTATTTAGAGACCTTCTGTTCTCTTATAGTTTTTTCGTATCACCGACCCTTATCGAGAAAAAAATTAAAAAACAAATCTCTGAAATTAGCTAGATAAAGCTACAGTGACTCAATAAACCTTTCCCTTTCCTTTCAAAGTGGCGATAGAATCTAGAAGTAAGACACAGCCTCGCCGCCATATTCTTGCTCATTTTCAATATAAATACATTAGTATTTCAACATCCTGTAGATCGGTAACGAAGCGTTTGAGGACCTATGTTCATCAGAAATTTTAGTCATAAAATAAACCAAAGAATCACCCCCTACCGTTTGTACATGACATTTAGGAACACCCTGTATAATTCTCAAAGAGTGAATATTGATATTAAATGACGTTGAAAGAGTTTTGAATTATAGACAATTGGATGAAAAAATGTAAATTTAAAAAATTTGAAATTTATATTAATCACTACAGGTGAACCAAAGCTTTATTTCAGTATTCGACTATTCATTTTGAAAAGTTGACAATTAAAATTAAGTCATTTATTTTTCAGGTCGGTCATCCATGTCCAGAAGGAATGGAACTAAGCCCAGCCACTAGCAGAACAGGTAAAGAACTATACGCAGAATGCAGATGTCCACCAAAACATGCCCTATCCACAGTGGATGGCAAATGTTACCAACTTTTTACCCTTGGCCCATGCCTGGAAGGTTACTATTTTGGCCCAGATAATATTTACAAAAATAATGTCACAACGTAAGAAATTACTCATTTCAAGTTATGTAATTTTGAAATAAAACAAACTTTTAGTTCTAGCCAGCAAATAGGAGCCTGTAAAAAAATCCCAACTTGCCCCAACGCCAATTCAATATTTTGGATTAAAGGCGAAAAGTGTTATCAAAAGTTGACCAAAGGACCTTGTCCCAAAGGTCAACTTTTAACAGTCGACCACAACGAGATTCCAGTTTGTGCCTGCAACAAACGTAAAGAACTGGAAATGTTTCGCGGTGCAGATGATAAATGCTACCAGCATTTCACAAGAGGGCCTTGCAAAGAAAAGGGGACCTTATTTTTACCAGATCAAACCTGTGATTGTCATGATTTTCTACCACATCATCATCGGGAGACTAACAAATGTTATGAACTCGGTAATATTTAGTTAGGTAGTTTTATGGCCGTTTCCACCAACTATTTTAGGAAAGCCTTAACGATAAGTATTCAAAATGACATTTTTACATGGAGAAATGTGAGTTTAAGGAATATTTATCGTTTAAGGCTCCCCTAAAATAGTTGGTGGAAACGGCCATTAGTAGCTCACTGCATTTAGGATTTTCCTACAGACCAATTTTCAATTCAAACAAAAGCAACTGATAGTTTTCCAGGTAGTTTTACCCTATGAATAAAAAAGAGCATTTACTTTTTCTCGCAAAATCTGAAGCAAATGCTTCATTCAGTATGATTCAAAGTTCAAGCAAAACCTCTTACTTGAAAGTCGGAAGAAAATGCTCCTGGAAAAAGCAACTACTCTTTTTCTTATGAATAAAAAAGAGTATTTGCTTCAAATTGGAAGCATTTACTCCTTGCAAAATGAAAATGCATCTGTTCCAGAGCATATGTATGTTTACTGTTTTGGTGCTCTGGTAAATTATTTTCGAATATTCTTATTTTCCGTTTTTTTTTTTTTTTTTCTTGTGTTTTTTTCTTTAGTGGGGAATTCATGTTGTTTATCTCTTTTAAGAATTCTTAAGATGTTATCTTTTTTGCGATAATTTTTTCATATCTTTCAATTATTTCCTAGTCTAAAGGGTAGTTCATACAGATGCGAATCGCGAACTGCGAAAGCCGCTCCTATTGGTTAGTTCACTGCGAGGGGGAAACCACCTACCTAATTTTGTACACCAAAAATTCTAAAATTCTGAAAAATGCTAATTTTCATGTTATAATTGTCCCAAAAAATTCTAAAAAATTCTAAAAAATCCCAAGAAATTGGGCAGACTCTTGAGCATGCGCAATAGATAAAAATTCTAAATTATTTCTAAAAAACTCTAGTTCGATTCTGAAAAATACTGAATAATTCTAGAAATTGCTAAAAAATACTAAAAAATGCAAAAAAAAACTGATAATTCTGAAAAATTCTATCAGTTTGTACAGGGTGATCTATTATAAATGTCGACCCTGCTAACTTTATCATTTGACATTTTTGACAGAAGTGTCAACTGTCAAATACAAAAGTTTTAAGAAATTATCATTTTTTTTTAACTAAGTTAGTTTTAGGCATACAGTGTGCGTCAAAAAAGTGCAGCAGTAAGAAGTTATATTTTTTAAATGGAACACCCTGTATATTGTGCGCTTATTTGTTAGTCTTCTTACCAGTTCCAGCACCATACCAGATAATATGATTTCAACGATATACGGTTTGATATGTTTATCTCTCTGTTTATCTTCAATAGTTATAGGGAAAAACGCGAAAATCCCTTGCTAGTTCTCTCATGTTATTTTTTCAAAAATAATAATAATAACTAGATTTATTATAAACTGTTCATAAAAAAAATTCTGGTAAAATGGTATAACTTTTCTTTTTTCAATATGAAACCTTGATAGGAGTTTTCATGTTTTTCCTTATAAATATCGAATGATAGACATCAAATCGTATATTGTTGAAATCATGTTAAAAGGGACTAACAAATAATGCACAATATGCAGGGTGTTCCATTTAAAAAAATATAACTTCACACTGCTATACTTTTTTGACACACCCTGTATGTCTAAAACTGACTTAGTTAAAAACTTTCGACAATTTATTGAAACTTTTGTATTTGACACTTTTGTCAAAAATGTCAAATGAAAAAGTTAGGACGGGCTGACATTTATAATAGATCATCCTGTACACCAAAATTCTAAAAAGGTTTCCCGCTCGAGGGAACCCACCTACCTAATTTTTTGAACCAAAAATAATTCCAAAATTCTGAAAAATGCTAATTCTCAAATTCAAAAAAATTTCCAAAAATCCCAACAGATTGTGCAGTGCGCAGGCTCTTGAGCATGCGCAATTCTAATTCAATTCTAAACAATACTAAAAAATTCTAAATAATTCTAGAAAATGCTAGAAAATACTAAAAAATGCTAAAAAATACTGATAATTCTAAAAAATTCTAACAAATTCTAGAAAATTTTATCAGTTTGTACACCAAAATTCTAAGGTGGTTTCCCCCTCGGTTCACTGTAAAGAAAAGTGACATTTGTCACAGTTCTTCGCATGACTTCGCAAAATTTGAAATTTGGGGAGTGAGAAAATTGGAATTAGTTTAATATTTTGCGATATTCGTTGTGGATTTCATGTCAGCGCATGCGTATTTCAAAAATGCTTTTTTCCTCTGTTCCTTTGGTTGTTTTGTTTACGTATCGGCTTTCCCAATTCGATTTTGGATTCTTTTCTTTTTTCTAGTCTTTGTAACTCTTGTAGTTTAGTTTGTTGTGCTTTGCCGGGTGATTTCTTTATTGCTTATCACAATATTTTCTTTGGTAATTCATTTATTTTTTTCTAAAAGTCTCATTTATTTGACTAAAATAAAAATATGGTATAATATGCTCCTTGCTGTTTTATATAGGCACCTAAATTTCTTTCTTGCGATTTGCAACAAACACAATCTGCCCTATGAATAAAAAAGAGCATTTGCTTTTTCTCGCGAAATCTGAAGCAAATGCTTCATCCAGTATGAATAAAAGTTCAAGCAAAACCTTATACTTAAAATTCGGAAGCAAATGCTCCAGGAAAAAGCAAATACTCTTTTTCTTATGAATAAAAGATAGTATTTGCTCCAAATTGGGAGCATTTACTCCTTGCAAAATGCATCTGCTCCAGAGCAGATGTATGTTTACTATTTTGGTAAATTATTTCCGAATATTCCTATGTCCCGTTTTTTTGTGGATTGTAGATTGCATTAGCAGTCTATATAGCTTGTTCCAGCTGCTATAGTGTTCAAGATTTGTAGGCTCCTTCCAAAGCAGGCCAGCTTCCTGGGTGGTAAAGTACCCACCACTTGGGGTGTGAGCAAGGTATTTCAGCCTTTCGCAGAAGTGACCAGGGCATTCACAGATTAAATGTTCCGTAGTTTTTAATGCTTCTTCGCAAGATCTGCAGTAATCGTAAACTGATTTGCCTATTGTTTTTAGGTGATTTCACCAGAAACTGCCCACTGAGCATTCGACCAACGACTTCTCTAATGTCTCTTCTGTTTATTGTCAAGAACCTGTTCAGATCTTAGATATATGAACCTTCTTCATCTGTTGATTTCTTTGAAGACGTGGCTTTTCATTAGTACACAGAAAGCCACTGGGCCTTGAGAAGGTGTTACAGCGCCCCGCTTTGTGAGACAGCCCGCCTCCTCGTTGCCCTCTTCACTTTATTCCTAAGTTAAGTGTTTAAGGATATTTTTACCCTCCCAAACTAACTGAAAATTGCACTTGATTGGGTTCTAGAACCTTTAGACCCGCTTGACTCTCGGATAGTATGTATATGTGCTCTCTTAAAAGGACTCTTTTAAGACAATCTTGGGCACAGATGCTTATGGCCAGAACCTCAGTTTGAAATTTTGTGGACGTTTTGCCCATTGCTAATGAGAGTTTAAACTTTGAAGTTTGTTCCAGTTATTCCAAGACCGACTCCTTCCGTTACCTTCGACCCATCTGTGTGACTGTGTACCACCAATCAACGGTTCCATAATAGTGCGTTGTCCGCTTGCGGTGGCTTTGCGTTCTTCCATGATTGGCGTTTTTTTTACTACCACTTCCTATGGATCCATTGATATTATCGTTCTGGTAGTTCAATTTGGCATTCGAGTCTTAGATTCAAGCAACAGGTACAACAGGTAATATCTTTCACTTCATTTCTTTGAAGCATATGCTCGCAAGTAAAAGGTCTTCATTATTCATATGATATGAAGTAAATGCTTCCACTTCTACCTTTTACTTGAAGCTTTTGCTTATACTTCTACCTTTTGCTTAGAAGCAAATGCTCTATTTTTATTCATATATAATAAGACACAACAAAAACAAATCAAAGGAAATATGTAAATATAGTAGTGCCAACACTCCAGTGTGGCATCGAAAAATAAGGTGAATAGTCCTAGAATGATTGCGAAATTCCTGTCTAAATAAAAGGCTGAAAAACGTCTATTTTTCTTTAAAGAAATTCGGATTCGCAATTCGTGATTCATTTCTATAAGTATGAACTACGCTTAAGCATTCTGCCTTCGCTTTCTTTGCAGTAGTCGTCTGAGAATTGTCCAATACATTCGGCTTTTGAAGAACTTCCTGTAGCAGAAGTCCTCGCGTCATGCATTTGATTTTTGTTGTAAGTGGATTTGGTATTTCCTGACAACAGATAGCATCTTTTACTTCAATTCGTTTGAAGCATATATTCGCAAGTAAAAGGATTAAAGGTCTTCAATATTCATATGAAATGAAGTAATTGCTTCTACTTCTACCTTTCACTTGAAGCTTTTGGTATACTTCTACCTTTTGCTTAGTAGAAAATGCTCTGCGAAGGACCAAAATCGTACAATGAAACTAATGTTTTGTGATATGTATCTCTATTTCCATTGATTCTACGAGAAAAACAAAGCAATTCTGTATAAAAAAAGGTAGAGGTTATTTTTTTTTTTTTTTTGTATATGCAGTCATTTTTAAGAATATAACTTTAAGAAGATAAAATCTAAAACTAAAAAGCAAGGAATTAATGTCATCTCTTCAAAATATTCTGAAGTGCGACAGAAAACACAAGAGAAACTTAATAAAAATCTGAACAATCTGACAAAAAACATTCTAAAGAGCACAGATGTTAACTATAAAAGGCAGAATATTCAAAATGCCATGACAAAAACAAGCGTCACACTGCCACTAACAAAGCAGAAAGCAAAACAAATATGGATGACCGAAGAAATTTTAAGGATCATGGATAAGCGAAGACAAAACAAGAACAACAAACAAACGAATATGATGCCAGACTAAACAACTAAATTAAAGCTAAAATTAAACTAGCAAAAATAGAATGGCTAAGAAAAAACTGTAAGGAAATAGAGGAGTATGAAAGGAGATATGATAGCTTTAATATGCATAAGAAAATCAAATAAATAGCAGGCTCAAAAAA